ATTTTGTACAGGCGTCCGTGACGTCGTCAACTGTTGGTTAAACAGTACATCGCGCTCTCTACGCTCTCTTGCGTTTTTGTGCGCGCTGTGTGCGTGTGACCTAACTATAGTTGTCACCTGCCAAGTCACGCTAGAGCCACAACTCTTGACGATGAATAACGGCTGCGCCCCAGCCCCCGCGCCCGCGTCCGAGTCCGCGCCAACCACAAATCGGAAGTGATATGGCGCAAATTTTTCCTTTGACGCTTGCGCTTCCACTGTGTCGCACAGCCATAAAAAGTATAGTTAAAGTCAATTGTGCTAATAACAAGTCACCCCCACCGAAAGCTGTCCGTCCGCCTTATCGCTATAAATATTTCCAAGTTGAAGTAGCGTTTCTGTTTAGTAAGAAAAAAAAAATAATTTATGTGTTGTTCCGGCAAAAGCGGCAACCGACTTCGGCCTTTTGATTTGTTTATTTTGAGCGCGTCCAAAAGTCAGAGACACGACACGACACGAAACGCTCACGCGCTCACGCGCTCGGCCCTCGGCTGGAGAGCAATTGCGCTATATGGAACAGCTGATCGATCGACAAGGCGAGCACGATAAATAAAAATAAAAATACAACAACAACAACAACACAGTAACAAGAAGAGGAACAAGCCGCAATACAATTAAATCAATGTCTTGGTCAATGCGCGCACTTGCAAACAATTTACAAGAGAGAGTCGGAGTCAAAGTCACGCACACAGATGCACCAACTATTAGATACGCTCAATGAGCGCCAGCTGGCAGTTGAAGCGCACCCAGACCCACAGAAAGAGCGAGATAATGAAGAGAGAGAGAGAGAGCGAGAGAGAGAGAGAGCGAAGCGTCTCACAGCGTTTTGCAGCGGTAAAAATAAAACAACTTTGTCAACGAACCCAACACTGCGCTACTTCTACTTCTGAGTGCTATCAAATAATTAGCTTAAGCAAATTATATTTAGAGCTAATTAATTTAGTAAACATACGAAATTAGTTAACAAACATTTATATTTATAAGCAAAATATGTTAATGTTTATCAATTATCAATTGATTTACAATACGAACTAACAAAATAAGTAAATTCTTGTGGTATATTTATTCTCTTCCTATAAGATATATACACAGATATGTGCATGCGTAAAATATATGTTTAAATAATTGAGAAACAAAATATAAATTTTGGCTAAATAACACATTTAGCTCAGTATTTTATGCCATTACCAAAGTGCACTTGCAAAGCGTATAGCGCTGTCAATATGGCCCATTCGAGGCCCTCCCACATGCAAGCTGTAGCCTATTCGAGTCACAGCTATTCATTGTTTCTGCTCAGCTGTTCGGCAACTGTCGCCGGCTGTTCGGGCCGAGTCAATGCTCACCAGGTTTGAGCGCATTTTGCATAGGTGTGTGTAAACAGCTGTTGAGAGAGATTGGAGTTAAATGTAAGCAAAGGGGGAGGAAGGGGCGCCCATTAAGTAAATTCATGTACTATAATTATGTGTCTGCACACTGATATCTGATATCGGATTTCGTCAATATCATCGTGAACAACATGATTATCGTGTATCGTTAGCTGAGTTTGGCTGCGACTAATGCTGATACGAACACACGCTCAGACTGCTCACATACATACATACAAATGTATTCTGCCGATTCACTCAGCGCACACTCATGCACACACACACGCACATACACTCAGTGGCTCATACATGGGCGGTCGCGAATCTGCGCGCCATACACACAAATATGACTTCTCGACCAGAGGGGCCTCCTCGTTGTACTCCTCATTAGTACGCTCATAGTAACTGAAGAGTTCAGTTCGCACACAAACGCGTTTGCTGCTCTGCTCTGCTCTGCTCTGCTGTGCTCTGCTCTGCTTTAAACGCTGTCTCTGCCGCTGCCTCTGTCTCAGCTGTTGACGCTCTCTGCTGCGAAAGCTGGCGAATACCTATAGAGAGGCAGTCCGCTCATAACCAACGAATTCGATCGCCAGGCACTCAAATCAAATCAAAACAGGCAGCCAAACGCAGCGCGTCGACGTTTGTCCAATAATATATCTTCAAGATATCTTCGGCATACGAAATACGCTGTTTTAAATTATTATTTTTAATCTTTTTTTTTTTTGCGTAAAGTTAACAGTTTTTTTTCCCCGCCCGACTTGTACAAAGTGCATTTGCCGCGCGCCTCAATTGTTATTGTCTTTTTTTGCTGTTGTACAATAACTGTGACTGTGTTTTCGCCGAAGCAAAAACGGTTCTAAAAGTTTTCCAGCGCTGTCGCAGCGGATTTCCCAGCGTAACTTGCACAGGACTCATTGGAAATTTATGTGTAAATGGTGCGTATGCATTTCAGTAGCTCACGAAATTTAGCTCCTAACCCTCAGACACACACACACACACACCCCTCATTCCCCTTCTTAAGCCATCCACATCATATTCCCAGCCAGCAATTGGCTTATCGAGCAGTTATTATTATTGTTGTTGTTGTTTTTGTTGTTATTGTTAGCGTTCTTTTTGGCTGTGCACTTTTTTAGCCGGCAGGCAAAAGGCGGTACGTGTTTAACCCACTGATAAGTGCGCCGAGTAGAGTACCCTACCCTTTAAAGCTGTCGTAAATACAATTGCTCTGCATGAAGTACGTGACAATTGTCGTCATGAAATTCATAATTGGGGAATTGTCCATCTGGGAGGGCTTTCGGGCTGGCTGTTATGCTTGCCAAACATTGCTGGAGTTGGTCGAGTGTAATCGGATATATAGTCTAGTGGATGGTATTATTTTATTAATATACATGGTACATATGTATATGTGTACACACCCACACACACACACACACACACACACACACACACACATATTTATTTATATTTACACTTATCTGAAAGTCGCGAATTCCGCGCTATATAGCTCAAATTTCAATCGGATTGTTAATTACGACAAACAGCTTTCGACAGCCCATACCGTTCATGGGGGAAGGCTACCCTGACCTATATGCTATGTGCCATGTGCACCTGCTGCTCGTCTGTGAGCTTGAAAAAACATTTTCGTGCTTTTTCTGGACCTTTAGGCGGCAATGCAAGAGTCAAGCCGAGGCTATACTATACTCACTCGGTTTATCAGTGCAGTTAGCCAAAAGACTGCTCACGTTTCGAGCTTAGCCACAAATTTGATTTTACCAAATTAAAACAGGCTGTCACTGAATAAAATACAAAAATATTAACAATTTAATATACAATTAAATCAAACAAAGTTTTGTTTAGCTGGCTCGGACTGTGTTTCGTTTTTGTATTTTCCAATATAAGTTCAACAAATTGAATTAAATAAAAAAATAATTAAATCGAACTGAGCTGTCCAAGCTCGAACATTCTTTATAATCAGTCAAAATACTTAAAAATAATTAAATAATAGAAAACAAATGAAATTAAATTGTAGGGTGTCGCGCTGTCGCGTTAAGTTGCCTTTCATATTAGTCGTAAATTGGAAAAATAAACAATAAAATTAAATTAAAGGGTGTCTAGCAATCGTGTTAGGTGGCCAAAACTAGCCCATCCTATTAATCTTAGGAAAACAGAAAAAAATAATTCAATATACATTAAAATTTAAGAAATTAAATAAAATTATATTAAAATATATTTCATTGTTGGGTGTCAGGCAGTCGCGTTGAGTTTCCTTAACTCTGACATTAATTGATAATAAGTTAATAATAATGTTAAATTGAATTGCAGTGTATCAGGCAGTCGCGATTAGTTGCCTTAACTAGTTTATTATTTATTGACTCTTAAATGAAAACAAATTAATTAGGCTGCAGTTCCTTTAGTCCTTGGCATCGATGCGTTAATGGGGTCAATCAGTCAGTTGACTTTGAGGTTGCACGACTAGCAATATACCCTGTAGGCTGTTAGGCGTCCGCTTGTCACTTACTTGCTGAGATTGTATGTAGCTAGCTACATACCCTGTAGTCTGTTAGGCGTCTGCTTGTGACCTATTTGTTGGGTACAGGGTGTGCACGAAAGTGCAATCGGATCTAGAACCGAAACATTGATTGGCAGTTAAAGTGCGTGTGCTTGAATCAGGTTCACAACTGGCCTTTTGTTGACCAGCGACTTGGCAGCAGTTACCAAAACATGTTCAATTCAAATCAAACATGTGAAATTAATTTACACGTTCGGGGCGGGCGGGCGGTCGGTTGTCCGGCTGGTTGGTTGGTTGGCCGGCAGCAGGCCGTTCGTTCGTTTGCTGAGTTGCCGAATAGTGGGCGGCGGGGGCTTGGCGGGGGTGGCAACAAGTCAGAGCGTGCGAGCGATGCGTCAGCAACGACGCCGGCGTTTTGTCATGGACAAGGTCCGGACTACGACAGCGACAGCAGTCGGAGAGTTAGAGAGAAAGAGAGAGCCCGAGAGCGGTAGAGAGCGAGTGCACAAGAGAGACTCTTACAAGGGGAAAGAGTTGCAGGGGCCAAAGACAAAAGACCAGACAGCAAGACATATGTAAGAGACAATCGGGCCGATGCCAATAGCCAACGTGGTTGTTGTTGTTGTTGTTGTTGTTGACTCCGGCTACAACGGCGACTCCGACGAATTTCACAAAAGTGTGCAAGAAGCCAGCGGGGCAAGTTCGTTGACTTTGTGCGCGTGTGTGTGTGTGTTAGTACGGAGGAGATTCGCATATGCTGCTCGATGGTGATTCAGCCAAATTAAGACTTTTTTATTTTAAATAATTATGTCAGCCGACACACAATAACGAAAGGCCAACAGCAGCAACAACAACAACAACCAAAACAACAGCAACAATAACAAACGATAACGATAACGAGGCCAGGCACGTTTTGGGCCAAATCATATCTTAGCACAAAACACGCAATAAAAAATAATGTGAAACTAACGGGAATTCCCCCCACAAACTGCATCATCCTTCAATTTGACAGACGACAACTGTTGGCCAGCTCCTAGCCAGCATAGCCAGCAGCAGCCACAACAACAGCAACAGCAACAACACCAGCAACAGCAACAGCAGCAGTAATAACAACAACAACAACAACAACGACAAAACGGCCAACACAAGGAAAACGGCATCGACGACGACGTCGGCGAAGCCGCAACTGCCGGGCAGTTCCCGTTCACGAAGACGTCCACAGTATTTCAATTCCGTGCTGATGCTTGCCGTGCTCATGTGCCAGCTGCAACAGCTCGTTCGCCCAGGCGACGGTGGATCTGGTCTCGCAATGGCCGCGCCCGCACCCGCGCCCGCACCTGTGCCCGATCCGGAAGCAACGCCGGCCACACTTAGCGCCATTCTCGTAGACAATGTCACAAGCCGTTCTGCGAATCGAACACGGATCCAGAAGAGGCACTACACAAGCGTCAGCTTCAAGGAGCGCTTCCATCGCGAACTGAATAGCTCCGTCCTGGACTGGAGCAATGGCTGCGGTGGCAACTGGACGGGCTCGGATGAGGAGCGCAACCCCGTGCGAGCCCACAAGCGCTGTGCCAAGCATAAGAAGGTATGTTAAGAATTTGTATAGTCCATGGGACTTATGTAAGTGCTTTACCCAAATAAACCCCAAATGAAAGCTAAATTAGAGAAAAGTTGACTACTTATCGAAATTTGTATACAAATACTATCAACTATTACCTGGCCTTAAACTACCTAAGAAAGATTTAAATATTTCCTTCTTACCTTGAGCCACCATTTTGAAGCCATTTTTTTGGAATGACAAAACACATCTCAAAAGGCACTCTAGAAAAATATTTAAAAATATGTTTATAGCTGATCGCATGTGAAACAAAAAGTTGCAATCAACAGCATTCCACACATTTTCCACCCTTAATGGTGGACAGGCCAAAACCTCTCAAATGAATTATTAAAAAGATCGTCAAACATTAGCGAATGGCATGAAAAAATAAATAGTTTCAATCAAAAGTGGTCGATTTGCCAACATCCCTGCGGATAACAAATAAATTCATGTTGGGTTCCATTTTCCACCTGAAGTGGATTCACTGAGGTGAATTTGCCAAGCAATTATGAAATACATCTCAAATGTATTTGCAGTCAGGAAAAAACAAGTTTCATATTACTTCAACGATATGATCTACGGATAAAATTTAAATTTTCGCCTATACTAACTTTGAGATCTATTTTTCACCCGTTGCGATGGATTCACTGAGGTGAATTTGCCAAGCAATTGTTAAATACGTCTCAAATGAATTTTTGTAGTCAGGAAAACAGAGTTTATATTGTATAATCGATGTATAATAATAATAAGAATATAAAACAGTAAACGCATTAGTAATAATTCAAAAATATTCTTTGATATTTTCAGCTACTGCGCACGCTACAGAATAAGACGGGCCGCGAGCTGCGGCAACTGCGGACCGACAACAAGCTGCGACAGACCGTGCACTCCATGAAGGCACAGGACACAGGCTCCAATCAGGCGATCGACATCTCAGAGCACGGCATATGGAAGATGCACAGCAGCCAATACAACTTTCTGCCCAGGCTCAATGCCAGCGGCCAGCAAGTAAGTAGCCAACGACTTTCCATTCCAATTGCCAACGTGAGGCAATCAATTTGATTAGAGCCAAGAGCCAAGAGCTCGGCACTGGGTCACGTGAGGGACCATTTCACCGTTCGTCATTGCGTAGGTGCAAAAAAAAAAAAAAAAAAAAAACGAAGCGTCACAAGCCAACAAAGCGCGAGTCAGTCATATGAGTTTCGGCCAACGTGCGGGTTGGCAATAGGTAGCGGCGTATTATAACGAGGGCAGTTCAGCAGGTGGCAGAGATTAATATATAACAAAAACAAGCAAAGCAGTAAAATAATAAATTATATGCAAATTTATAATGAATTTATCAATTAGATTAGGATACATTTTAGCGCTCAACCAAAAATAGTATTCTAGAAAAACATATGCAAATTGTGGGCGCACGCGACTTTGCTCAATGTCAGCCTTGGATAGAAGCTCTGTGCACGCTTTATTAGAGCCGAAAGAATCGGAGCTCCACTTCGTACGGCGGCTAATTTGTTGGGAAAACAATCAAGCTCAATCGAGCCAAGTAAACAAAACAACAAACAACTCAGACACGCGCCGGGAATGGAATGGAATCGAATCGAATCGAATCGAATGGAATGGGTAATGGACACGCTTACAACGAGCAGCTGATCGAAACCTGATCGGAAACATATAATTCGCATGTCGTTGCTTATGTTTTTCTAATATTGCATATTGCATAGCTGACAGTCAGGAGCTGCCCTCCAGTTCTTCTATCTACCACTGCTGCTGTCCCATAATTCCGTTTCGAATCAGATCTTGATATGCAACCATAAAAACTAATGATGCGCCAAAAGCTAAAAGCGGCGACAGTCACGCGATATAATAAAAAGCAAGAACAATAAACAAAAGACAAACGTATTTTGACAAATCCACATATATATATGTATATATATATATATAGATTCTTAGGATCGTACGATTGGAAGGTAAAAGCTATATCAACATGTTCGTGTGTGCATTCTGACTGACAGATAAGAGCGTTAGCTTTATGAATAATATAATAATTGCCTGCCCAGTTAGTATGTCACCAGAAGAAACGGCAGCAGTCGTGGCTTATCACATCAGAAAATGGAAGTACGTAGATTTTGGCTTGTCAAACAACAAGCTGCCAACTGCCAACTTGTACGCAAATACGAAAGCATAATATCAGACGGGCAGTGAGAGTTATCTGTTAGTTCTAAAGATAAAAAAAAAACTTGGCAATATGCAATGCAATACCGCAAACTTGGCCAATTCGCTTTCCACATAACCAAATTTTGGCAAGAGTTTCCGTTCCTTAAGATTGTATTGCAAGTCTGCGTAAAGTTGAGTCAATTAACAAATCAATTTAAAGGCGCCCACGAGAATCTGGAATTTGTTTTTGTGTATTTGGAAAAATCTACAAAATTCTACATAAATATCTGGATATTTGTAGTTTTATATAGCACATAGCTCCATAGTTAATTAACGTAGCCACAAAATGCATTCTGAGAAAACTTGAAAAACCTAATATTTTGTTTTGTTTTTTCCTTTTTTTTTTTTTGTATTATTGACCCAATAATGAGTAGGCACATATGCAAATTATGCTGGAATATCTGAAGAGCTAAAAACAAGTGTTAGCCCGATTGCACCTGTGTAATGAAATGTCAAATGTACTTTGATTGACCGAACTTTAGTGTGTGGTTCGACTTTGACGCCTGCGTATATCATCTCTCTCTCTCTCTCTCTACCCCTCTCTCACTTTCGCACTCTCTCTCGCGGCTTAGTTAAGTACCTGTCTTTCTCTCTGTCGTTGTCTCGGCAGAGCTCAGCTGCCGTTGTTGGCTAATTCCCAGATGATGCTGCTGTTGTGCTATGTTCTATACTTAGACGGCTAACATCATCATCAAACTCATTATCGTGCAATTGTGTGCGTGTTCGTGTGTGTGTGTGTGTATGTGTGTGTGTGTGCTTAATAATATCATAACAATGAGCGGCTTTCGCTAAATTTCTCATTGGCGTCACTAGAGCCGGGCATAGGAAAAAAACCCAAAATATTAACAATAACAACAACAACAAAAAATAAGGTTAGCAACTGAAATTGTTAAAAGCATTTGGCAATAACTCCGCAAATGATGTTGACCCAAGCGACGTCAATTGATGACATGCTAACCGTTGATAATGTTGTTATTGTATGATGTACTCACAACAGTAAACAATGCGGCGTTGCCTGTTGCTCTTGTAATAACGATGACGCCGTCGCAGGAAGCGTGGCACTCTGTGGATGGCTAATCGTAGTTATTTATAAAATGCCCACCGGACAGACTCGTATGTGCATACATATGTAGTATGTATGTATGTGTGCTATACATGTGTGCTATGAGTATAGGTTGCGTAAATCACATAAATATAAAAAGCACAACAACGACAACGACAGCTCGAGCTCAAACGCACACTTTTCCTAAGAACCTGCAGCTCACGCGGCCTTTTGACGTCACTGAAAAGCTAACAGCAAAGCATTTCGCACATATTTAAAATTAATGTGCCGCTGCGAACGGTTTGAAGGGGGTATGAGGAGGGGGACTGATATGTTTGAGCAATCTAAGCACTCACATATTGTAAATGACACACACACACACACACACACACACAAACAAACGCACACACTAACACACTGAAAGACAGCGCGAGACACGGACCGAGCGCGCGCGCGCGCGTGAATCATGCGAATGAGCGAGCCGTGGATTCCCCCAGCAGCGGCATGAATGAAACGAACGCCGCGATAGGCGAAGAAGATGACGATGACGACCGACAGCCGACAAGCGAGCAATAACAACAACAACAGCAACAACAACGACGTCGACGACGACGACGACGACGACGTCGCGCCGACGGGCCGACGTCACAAGCACGCGGCCGCGAAATGCGTTGCGAAACCGAAAGCACAATTAAGCAAACTAAAGAGAGTGAGTGACTGAGAGAGAAATAGTTAGGGTGGGCAGAACAATGCGGCGAAGTGCCGAGCGGTGCGGTGCGGTGCGGCGCGGCGAATTGGCGTATCGGCGAATCGGTTGCTTTTCACTTTCAGGCAACGTGTCGTATGATTGATTTTGATTATTAATCAGCTCAGCTAAGTGCGACGCTGCTACAGAGAGTTCACTCAACCTGCCGATGGGCGTGACTGTGGGCGTGCAGGGTAGCTGTTACCAACCGGTTCTATAGGCAGCACAAACCGGTTTGTTGCACAAATGTGATTACAGCCGACAGCAGAGTTGCTTATCAAAACGGATATCGAACCGATCTATGCCACACAAAAAGCAAAGCCAAACCCAGCCAAACCGAACTGAACCAAACCAAATCAAAGCAAACCAAACAAGATCCATTTTGTCTCGCTCAAGCTCAAATAACACTCATACGCTTTCAAACCGGCTTCTGATTTTCCTCTAACTAACACCACAAATCTCTATGTTTTGTTTTCTTATTGTTTTCCTTTCAGCTCGCCTTGCGTCGCGCACATCACGATCTGCAATTCTATGTGGCCGCGTTCAGCTATCTGCGGCACGCCCAGCTGCACTGGGACTATGAGAACCTGCAAAAGCAGAGCGTGCTGTCCGCCGAGCTGCTGCGCTATCGGAGCAGCGCACGCACCGTACTCTGCATCGTCGAGGAGGCCATCAATGGCAGCAGCCGCCTGTATGCGCCCAGCCCGCAGAAGCATCAGCGGCACAAGAAGCTGTCGCTTCACCAGATCAAGACGGTGCCGCGAGAGCCCATGGAGAAGCGTCTGCAGAAGTTTAAGACGCCGCTGGTGGAGCTGCATCGTCAGGCGGTGCTGGCCGCTCGCAACCAGCCAGCGGCTGAGCCCAGCAAGCCGCATCATTTGGATGCGCTGTTCCTCAAGTTCCAGTACATGGAGTACCTGAAGCACATGACACAGCTGCTGGCCAAACAGCGTAAAAGGGACTGCACGAGCAGTCCACAACAGCTGGCAACGCGGCCAAAATCGCGACAAAGGCAGCAACAGGCTGCATAGTGCCAACCACATTCAGCAACCAATTCCAGTTGCAGTTCCAGTTCCGTTTCGAATTCCCTTTGAGCGCCTATGACAAGGAACCAGTTCCGCCAAAAGGACTCACGCCCATCCGACACTCTGCCCACTGTACTGAAAACCCACTCTCAAAGACGGCTATAACATTCGATACCGAATCCGAATCCGAATGACAAGTTTGAAAACGTGCCCTGAATATGTTCAGCAACTACATTAACTATTTATTATCAGCATGACAATCATAATTATGGATTTAATTAATTTAAATTGATATAACGATATTTTTCATTTATAGATATCTATTAGGAAGTTTTTTATTATTATTATTATTATTTTTTTTTTTTTTGCTAGTTTTAAATCTTACCTCTCGCTCCTCGGAAAAGGAGAAAACCTCGAAAAGCATTCAAGAGGAGGTGAAGCAGCTCTTTTTCAACCCAAACCCTTCTCTTGTGAGACTCCCCAATAATATAACTATTACTATTATTATTATAATTATTATTATATTTAGCCCTCACCGTATTATTTATTTGCAAACAACATTCCTCACCCATGCAAAATCGCACATTCGCTAGAGCCTAAGTTACAAATATTCCCTACGATAGCACGACTTTGCCTTGTATTACAATACTGTGATAATAGATACTAGTTAATAGACGATACCCATCCAATATTGCGTATGTGCTCTTTTAAGTTGAACGCAAATATCTCGCCCAGTTGCTATGATCGGATATACCTATGTACGCAAATTATATAAATTATTAAATATCAATATATTTATATTTAAAGTATTGTACGCATTTGCTACTTGTATGTTTTTTAATACAATTTTTGTAAACACTTTATTTTTTTATGATCCAATATATTGTACAACAATTGAAAGTACAAACTCACATTATTTCGAGTTTTTCTACATAAACAAATATGTTTCCCGTTTTTCTTTATTTATTTATACGTGTCTCTTAGCCCAGCTAGATTACAAATAATATATATAATACAACTTTTTAACTTAGTTTTAAGGAATGCACTTCACATTCCAGCTTAGATGGGGCAATTTTGGTAAATCATGAGAGCTAGAGTCACGAAACATGATATGTTGCTTCTAAAATAGAATATATATATGCATTTCATGTTGGAAGAAGAGGGTTCCGTTTACCCCCTAGTCGAGAGCTTCCGACTAGAACCTCTTACTTGTTATTATTAATTATATTACACAATTTAAAGCTAGAGCATTTATCTATAGAAAGTCCTTTTACAAAATGTATCTTAATCTCTCTCTCTCCTTCTCTCTCTCTCTGTCTCTTTATCTTTGTGCATATAGTTATAGATATTATTTTGTGTAAGCGTGAAATTCATAGCCATCTGTGGGCAAGGTCGGCAGCGCAATGCTCCTCAATCTGCGTCAATCTGTGAAGCCATTTGAAAGTGTTCCGAACACAAGCTTAAATGAAATGTGTACATATTAAAGTGCACCAATTTATTTCTGTACAATTGCCAGTCCGACTTTATTCATCTAGCGCCATATCAGTTACAGTGCCTCGAAATCCATCCACACAGTTCTTGGCAGCAACTGTATTGCGCATACGCAGCGTGCGCCCAATTGTAATGCGAGACAAAAAAAATCGGACCATAAACGAGCTGAAGAGCTGCAGGGAGGTGTATACCTTGCAAAGATGCCCAGAAGGGTATACATTTAATGAAAATAATAATTGAAAAATAAACATAATGTTGCTAATAATAATAATATTTATGACAATAATAATTCAGTTGAATTTAAATCAATTGGCCTTTGACAACCAACCGATATACCCGATGTGTGCACACAGGGTATACACGAATATAAAATGCCAAAACAATTTCATTTCGAATTGTTGGAGATTCTTTTTAATTGCAGCCAGAAGTAAATTACGCGGCATTTATAGACTTGTACAAATATTTTATGAGCCATATAATAATTCCAGTTCTTGTTGTTGTTGTTGTTGCAGTTGGGTTCCTTCTCGACCATTTTTACGACATCAGCTAAGCGACAATTTTGTTGTTGTTGTTGTGTGTGTGTTGGAGTTGGTTCGGCATATTTTTTGTTTTTTTTTTTTTTTTTTTGGGCGCGCTGATTCTTTCGGTCTTATCGGGGCAGAGGAATCTACGCACACCCTGGACTTGGACCCGGCTCGGGGTCCACGGAGCATGGCCCATGGTCAAAAACTGAGGTTTCGATGTGCTCCGATGTGTGCTCAGGGCTTCCTTTTGTGTGTTACTAATGTCTTTCATCTCTTTGTGTCTGTGTGTGCGCATGTGTGTATGTGTATATGTGTGTGTGCGTGTGCGTGTGCGTGTGCGTGTGAGTTTGTCGCGGTTTCCACCAATTGCCCTGCGCCTGCGTCCGTTTATCTCACACAATCAGCAATTGTCATTAATTTCGGACGCTGTGTACGTGCTCCGATTTGTCTCTTGAATTCTCAGTGACTGATTCAACAATTTAATATGCAGCAGCAGCGTCTGCAGTCAAGTCTCAGGCCAGGCCAGGCCGGGCCAGGCCAGGGGCGATCATCTCAGTGCCCCTGGGACACTAAAGATGCTTATCGTTTTGATTTTATTGTGGCTCCGATGCAGCCTCTTGCCATCCCCTTTCTGCACGGCCCGCACGGCCCGCACGGCCCCGCACGGCCCCGGGCGAGAGACATGCAACTATGCGTCGGCGCACCATTCACCAAAAAATTCATTGCCGCTCAGCTCTGCGCACCGCACTCCCCGCACTGCCCTTGCCCAGGCCAAGGCCCTATGTTGATCAGCCGCTGGGCAAGCGCATTGCCAGCCCGCCGCCGCACTCGAGAACAATCCTTTTTCGTAGCCGTAGCGCCGTCTTGTTTTTAATGGACTTTCCTGCAAGTGCACGTAGCGCTCATCTATCTTAAGTTTTGATAGGTTTTTACGAGCGTATTTATGCGATGGCCTTTATTAAATTGAAAATTATGTCTTTCTATGAGAAATGTCTAAATTGTTGTCTCCGCTTTTGGTGGGTACTTTTAGGCCCCTTTCGGGTGTCTGTGTGTGTGTGTGTCTGAGTGTGTGTGTGTGTGGAACCTTTCTGGCCTTGTGTGTTCCTCAATGAACTTGCGCCTGGGTCTTGGACAGCGACTGAAACTGATTTAATCTAAATGTTTATTTGGTTTCTTTTTTAGTTTATATTTTTTTGGTTTTTGTATTTTTGTGTTTTTTTTTGTTGTTTTTTTTTTTGTTGCTGTTTTGCCGGCGGTCACGTGCAGCTTCTCATAAAAGTGTATTTGCTGTTGTATGTGTGTGTGTTTTTTTTTTTCAGTGACAATTAATTAAAAATATCTTATTTCGTTTATGTTCTGTGTGTTAGCTTGTTTTGTTATTTTTGAGTTATGTTTTCCGCTGCAGATTTATAGATAATCGCGTTACATTTATGGGCCCTAAATGCGACTAAGCCAGCAGTAGCAGCACAAAAACTTAACCCAAGTCCAACGAAACAAAAAATTTAAAAAATAAAAATGAACACCAAATGCAGCTCAGCTTAGCGACCAAGGGCCAAGACCCGCCCCCTTTAATGCTTCGCCGCCTTCTGCTCGTCAGATTTGTGATTTGATTTTGTAAGTTTTACGCTCAGTGAAACAAATTGCAAAACGTTGTTGTTTTGTGTTTCGTTTGCGATTTTTGTTTATGTTTTTTTTTTTTTTTTAACAATCTCACGACAAATGCCCGGAAAGCGCTGCCTCAGCTTCTGACACTTCTTGGACGCCTGGGAATAGGTGTTGAAATCTCTCAATTCTTTGCGCCGGCTCAGCAGTTTCTTCTTTCACAGAATCATAGCCCTCTTCGCAGCTGTGAAGCAATCAAATCAAAGATTCAGCATTCAAATACATTTGTATCTGTGTGCATATCGTGTGCATTTATATATATACAAACATATATAGATTGCGCTTAAAGAGCGTGCGCGCATTTTGCTGACACATCATCTAAAAGTTAACTAAGTCAACAAAAAGGTGTTTAGAACCAAACAACATTAGAGATAATATATACTTGCATATGTCTTTAATTTATAATTTCATAATGACCTTAAAGAAATTTAACAAAGTAAATAAAAGAAATTAAAATTGATTAATAGCTTATACAAAATATTATTTGATATATTAATAATATAATATATATTATTCTTATTATATTTATTAATTTAGTATTACTATTATATTATAAATATTATGCATATTATGCAACATAAATATTCAATGGCAAAGATTTTGAAGAACTGAAATGAGTTATCTTAAAAAAATAAAATGAATTTCTGTTCTGCGTAAGGTAAATGATATAGAAAATTACAAAATTTGTGAGACAAGATAAATAAGTTTGAAGTAGATAGAAGTACAGAGAAGTTAGCTTATATACCTAGATGAGCTCGTACGCTGCCTACGAAGCAATCGACAAATAGGTTCAAGATGAAATTTCCCTTCGATATTCTCAAAATGGCCTTAATTAAGGCCTATTCAGTTGTTTTCTCTAACCGCTGCAGACCAGATTTGGGCCAACTGAAAACTAGCAATGGCTGATGCGATTACGGTTTTTGGCTGCCATGGAATTTTCACACTCTCGGCCAGGGATTGGGCCACGTTGGTGTAGCGATTGGGCCGCCAGTGTGTCGCCGTGGCCCATATAAATTATGCACAGTTAACAATGCGGATCAGTCGGGGCGTATTGGTTATTGTGTGCAGTTTTTCCGCTTAATAAGGTAAAAGGTGTTTCAATTGCAAAACAATAGCAGTTGGCCCATTGTGCTGGCCGATTGGCAGCGGCAGCAGTAACATAAAGTGACAAAAATTATGAAAGAATGTCGAGAGGACACGCCGAACATCAAAGGTGACGCGCCCACTTCAAAATTCCAAAACACGACAATTGTATTTAATTCAATTGAGAGCGCACAAAAGGGATCAGAGGGCACAAGGGCAAGAGGGCATACAGCGGCAGCTGAGAGCGCACAGGATAGGACTGGACAGGACAGTACAGGACAGAGCTGGACAATAAAGTGATCAATACCAGCAAAATGTTTTTAATTGTCAATGAATGCGGCATGGCCAGAACAGAACAGAACAGAACAGACCAGACCGAAGCGAAGGGAACCGGACCCTTGACCTTTTGCGGCAGTCCAAAGATTTGTTGTTGTTGGTGTTTTGTTTTTGTCTCGTTGCTGTTGTTGTGCAATTGCCGTGTGCAGTTCTGCGCTTCAAAAGGTGAAATAAATTGCCCACCACCCAGGT